GTCATGTCGCGTGCAATGAAACCGTCACCCGCCACACCTATATATATTGAGAAAAATCAAAAGAAATGGATTAAATAATTTAAATTATAAATAATAATAATTATCAACTATATATTAATTGTATTTAAATAACTAATTAAAACATCCTCTTAAATTAATTTTCTTTATAAATATGAGTTTGATAATAATATAATCTGATGAACTGATTTTGTTTGACTCCCTTTAATTAAAAATGCAGTAATTTTTGAGGTTTAAGTCAATGAACTTTACCAAAAGTTGCAGAACTGAAAGTGGTTGAGCCGTCTTGTTGATTCTTGCTGCCAGTAACAACCGTTGCACTGATTCCATCCCCAACAAACATTATATTCCTCATTGTCTTCTTAACTTTAATGTTTTCATTGTAAACACCCTTCTTAACATGTATGATAAATCTCTTTGACCCACTTCTCATTTTAGTAGCTGCGTCCAGAGCGTCGGTTATGGTCTTGAAGTTACCAGACCCGTCTTGCGCAACCACCAAATCTGCCCCTGCCGCTGCCTCACCAGTCTGTAGGAGTTTCCTGTCAGCTGATGAAACCCATTCCGGGAATCCATCGGAAAGCAAGCGTCGAGCTCTGCCGTCTGATTTTATTGATCTCAGGCCAGTTGGGGCCGCAGCGGCCTTGTTTATGGCCAGAGAGTTGCGTACTAACTTGGAGAAGTTGCCTAACATGGATGGTAGATTATAAAACGACATGTTAAAATCAATGAAGCCGTTTTGGCATGTTTGATGGTTCGCAATTGCTGCACTTAACCATGTTTGGGTGTCCACTGGATCATTGGAGCTCATAGAACGATTAAGCTGGTGAACCGAGTCCTCATAAAGCTCCTGACAGTCGGTCCAAGCCAACTTAGCTCGTTCATCAAATGAACCAAAGTCCATGGTTGAGACTAGATGGTGTGCTCGGACAGCTTGGTCCATGGTGACCTTAAGGACAAGGTCACGGAACGAAAGCTTGGTAATTTCTTCAAGGTTTACAGCAGTATCTAAGAAATGGATGCATACCTCAGGAAATGGTGTTTGGGAACATGATGTTGGTGGGGCAGCATGCACCAATCCTAACAAAAGAGTTAGGAATTGGGCGATGAAAAGTTGTAGTTGGGAAAGTTTATGCATGGAGACTATATAGAGATCGAAGTTTCTAAAAGTTTGCGTTGATATACGGCTGGGAGGGATGGAGGGGAGGGAGGGAGAACGTTTGTTTATATAGGCATGGATGACTTCCGTTGGGACCAGGGACGGG